AATCCTACAATTAAACAAACATGAAATATTGTATCTTTATAACAACCTCTTGTAAGGCTGTATTCAGCTTTTCTGTTGAAACCTGTTTTACCTCCTCAAGTGTTTTTGGGACAAAAGAGAATTTTTATCATTGAAACATTAACTTTTTACAGCTCTGCTACAAACAAAGAGGCCAAGAAAACGTACTGTTTTGTAGTTTTTCTATATGCATTTATATAAATGGATTATGCATTCTGATGATGCAAACAAATGAAAATTCATCTTTGACTGCAGGTTGCCAGAGTTAGTGTAGACCGTTTTGTTAAACCTCTCTCACTGCCACTAAATAAACCATATTTCACATCTTAATTCTACTCATCTTCTGAAAAGGGTTTTCAGAAGATGAGTAGAATTAAGATGTGAAACGTTGTTGTTTTTTTATTTTGGCTCAGTGTGATGCAGTCCAATAAGGTTCTTGCATCATTGTACCCTCACCACAAGCTCATGTCTGCCCATTTAGATCATGCTTTCAACATTTCTTTTGAATTTCTTTCTAAATATCAAAAACCAGCATGTCAAGTTTTCTTTGAAGCAAAAGTACTGTATGCAGCAGCAGGATTTTGGAAGAGAAAACACAAAATAAATTATGTAATTATCCTTAACAGCGTTGGAAGTCTTTTTGACCGGCGCAGATGTATTTTTAGTAAGAGAAAAAAAATTGTGAAGAAAGTGTGATGACTCGAACTGCTCTACAAATCTTATCAGCCTGGGTATTTAATTACATATCATTAAAATGTGTTGTTTGATACAGTCAGTTTAAACATATATACATTTATTGTTCGGTTGCTGTTATATTTCATTTTAAGTAACTATCATTAGGGTCATGGACATGTTTTGTAACTCTAATTTTGAAAAGCTTTTTACGCGTCTCCTTTCATGGGTACTCTCGCGAGATTTTAGACCTAACAGACTCGACACAAGTTTGGCTTAAATGTTCAGCCATACAAGTCAACATACAAAGGTGAATTATAACATTTCTGCATACTTAGCAATAAAGGTAGATCTATCAACTCCTATTGTGTCACGAATGAACAAGCAAGGTTACCAAAATACAGAGTTTATAACTCTACAGGTGAGTGCCCTTTTGATGCAGCGGCAAGACGCGACCAGCTGCGGACCTGCAAATCGGCCCGTGGCTGGAGGAGTCCGTCAGTGAATCAGCTGTTATTTCAGAGCGTTTCTTTTGTAATGGATTCATTGTCCCTCCCCCGTATTATATTTTGGGCCTGGCCATATAATGACATAAATTTGACTTTAAATTACACTAATTACTTTTTTTTAAGGTACAAGGCACTTTTTTAGTTTTTTTTAAAGGTGTTAAATGTTTTTTTCCTTTGTATTTCATAGCTACACAAAACTATTTTGCGAGGAGAGGAGCAGCTAGCTCTCCAGAAATGTAAGGACTGTTATTCCTTGTACCACTGTCCTTTCTGTTGGCCTGAGATGTTCAAACCCACCATTAAAAGCAAAAGCAAAAGTTTGAAACATTTACTGGGTCACAGAAGAAGAGCAATACGGCACAAGGGCAAGTACTAAATAATGCGTTTAAGAAATTACAAGCATTTAAATATATATTTTACTTGAAATGAGGTCATAGGAATAAATTAATATTCTGTTCCTTCAAGTATTAAAATCTACTGAAGCATAGAATTTTATAGAAGCACAAAGAAATCTTAGTATTACATGGATCTCTAACGGAGGACTTGCTTTTTAGTCATTTTTTTCACTAGAGTTCTTCATTTTTAAATGTCATTTAAAGTGTGCTTTTATGGTGTATTCACTATTTACTTAGTTTAGTTATATGAAGACTTCATGGTGCTTGCTTCTCAACTCTCTATCTCTGTATGTTGGAGTCAGTGTGATTTGGAGAGGGGGGTGAAACTGTGTTTCTCAGAGATGGACTCTACTGTGTAAACATGACAAAATTGTGCATGTGATGCCGTCTGGAACAAGCTTGCATATAGAGAAGGAGTAAGAGATATATAAACAATATGCAGATATTCATGAATCCTCAAGAGATAAAAAGAAAGACTACAAGTAAACAACTCGGAGGAAGCAGGACATCAGTACTTGGAGGTAATGGCTAATGTCTTTGATTTTTAAATACTGAATTATTAAAGTATGATTCTTAATCCTCTTTTTTCATTTGGTAGGTTTGGGGCCAAAATGGTCTGGAGAAACGTTTGGACCTTACAGCTCTAAATAAACATGGAAAAGTGTACGAAGATGGTAAGAAACACTTCTTGTTGTCTGAAAAAATGTATCACAGTTTCCACAAACATATTAAGCAGAGCAACTGTTTTCAAAATTGATAACACTAAGAAATGTTTCTAGAGCACCAAATCAGCATACAGTATTAGAATGTTTTCTGAAATATCATGTGACACTGAAGAAAAGACTAAAGTAATGGCTACTGAAAATTCAGCTTCGCCATCAAAAGATAACTTACATTTTGAAATTGAAAGCAGTTATTTTAAATGGTAATAATATTTCACAATATTACTGTTTTACTGTATTTTTGATCAAATAAATGCAAAGCTGGTAAACATGCGATACTTATTTATAAACTTTTGAATGATACAGTAGTGCAGTTCAAGATACACATTTATACTGAGCCATTCTGTAATTTGGAAACTATTGATTCATGTCAGTAGCCAGTGGCTCTTTGGTCTTTTTTTCAGTCTGGACTCTGGAGCCCTGATCAGAGTTTAAGGATATCTGTCTGATTGTGTGTACTTTGTTTCTTTGTTTATCATTAGCTCAGTTTAGCTTGACAACAAGAGACAGGAGAGTATCACCTCACCAGGGTCTGGAGCAAGAGCACACCTGTCAGGTACACACACTAACAAACAAACACCTGCATTTAGTAAACACCCATATTATACTGATATTATTAGTCACTAGGATGATTAAATTTGGCCATTTTGAGATAGTTGATATTGGCCATTAATGGCATCTACAACAACCTTGTCAATGGATTATAACCTTTTTCTTTTTGGAGAATATTATACAGTTTGGGATCAGAAAGAATTTTTTACAGGTTTTTTTTTTTTATAAAGAAGTCGACTATGCTCACCAAGGCTGCATTTATTTGATTGAAAATACAATTAAAACATTTTTAAATATTTGTACAGCTTGTCAATGGATTATAACCTTTTTCTTTTTGGAGAATATTATACAGTTTGGGATCAGAAAGAATTTTTTACAGGTATTTTTTTTTTTATAAAGAAGTCGACTATGCTCACCAAGGCTGCATTTATTTGATTGAAAATACAATTAAAACATTTTTAAATATTTGTACAAATTAAACTAACTGTGTTCTATTTTAATATATTCTAAATTATAATTTATTCCTGTTATGATAGCTGCATTTTCAACAGCCATTACTTCGTCTTCTGTCACATGATCATTCCATTTGGTTGATTTGGTGCCAGAGAAACATTTGTTATTATCAATGCTGAAAACAGTTGTGCTGGTTAATATTTTTGTGGAAACACTTTGTCTGTCTCTCAGGTTATTGTGGTACAGTGATGAGGGTCATTCGCTGTCTAAAGTCAACACTCAGTCTGACTGCTTCCTCAACATCGTTCTGTGGTTTAAAGAACATTTAAACGGACACAACATTTCTCAGAAATGCATATGAAAATATTTATCAGATGTTTTTTTTGTCTGCACATATTGTGTTGGATATTCTTGCCGAAACTGTAAATGTCCGTAAATGTTGCAGGTTATGCAGGTCATTCTCCACTAGGGGACAGACCTGTCCATGTAAAATCAGCACTGCTATAATAAGGGGCCAAATGCCAAAGGATGAAATGATTGTGTTTAGAAATCAGAGCTCATGTACTGTGATACTGAACTTCTCTTTTTAGAGTCAATATCTGGACATTCACACTCTTTTGTGAGATGTTTGCTCTTCACTATGTTTTAAATGGACGGTAATGGTCTTGCCAATATTTTTTAGATCAAATCTATTTAACTTTAAATACAAATACATGGTGATTGTAGATTTAAATTAGTTTGATTATGAAAAAAGTACATTTAGGGTGGAAAGTAGAAGAGAAGAACAAAAACCTATTTTCTAGTTTCTGAAAAGTATCGAGAGATCTTCAACATTCCATAAACATAATAAGAGTCAGAAATGTGTGACATTAATTTTGGCCAATGTTTATGCACTCCGATCCAAGGTGTGCATGCTAGCTTTGGTGGCAGCTGTACCAGCTCACATGTCTAAGACTCTTGTGTCCATTTCACTTGCAGCCGCTTAAGAAAGGTATTTACCTCAAATATTTCTTTGTTTCATTGTTTATAGCAACATTTTTGTCCTTACACTTAATCTCCAAATCCTCTTTGACAGATTCATTCAGCTCTTGTGTTTCTATCATGAACTTTTGGTTTGCCATTTGTGGCATGTTGAGCACCAGCCAGCTTTATGTTAGTGTTTTATGGCCAATTGGAGCATGTGGATTTTTTAATATTCTGGCAGTCTCAGGGGGCAGATTGCTTTATACCCTTTTAAGATTGCATTGCTAATGACCCACAGAGAAAGAAGTAGAACACAACAGGTCACCTGAGACCACTGCCACTATGTGTGTGTGTTTAAGAGAGAAAGAAAGAAAGAAAGGTCTGTATTATTCACCCTTTGATCGGGTTTGGTGTAGGTGTCTGGGCTGGGTCTTAGGCAGGTCAAATATCATGAAAAGTCTTTACTCTCTGTCTCAGTTTGCCTAGATGCTGGATGACATGTTCATAAAGGAAGATTAAAGAGTGAGGCAGAATTTGAGAATAAACACAAACACCCAAAAAACAGAAAATCATTGCCAGGGGGTGAAAAGCAGATGAAAAGCAGAAACAGATAGGGAGAAAAATCTGAGTAGGTTTAAGGCCACACTGGGGTAAAATGAGCCACAGCTTCGTTGGTGCTCTCATGAGCTGTGATGTGACACATTAAGCGAAAACACAAAAGTTATCTGATGGCTCAAGCATTTTTTCCCCCAGAATGCTGGGAGTTGGGTAAGATCCAGTAGGCCTGGGGTACGTTGAATCAACGGCCATAAATATGACAGCTCGAAGCAGTGAATCTATTTGAGTTGGCAAAATAAGACAGTATAAATTAAACCCTTCAGACATCTTTGTTATACTTTGGTTCATGTTGCCTCAGTTGCTTTAGGACATTACAAGTCTTATATAAGTTGCTTTCTTCAAACTGATAAACAGCTCTGCTCTGTTTTTTTTTTTTCACCTATTAAACAGAAAAAGGAAACAACACAAACTGGCTCACCTTACCACAGGCCCAAAGTTGTGCTAAACCAGGGTGTTGCTTTGGGTAGTGGTCAGTGTCCATCCAAATGGGTGCCCAGCCAAAAAAAAAAACAAGTCAAATTTCATTCTTAGCATAGATTTTCACATATGTCTTTTTATTGATTTATTGGCGGTTAGATCATTTATTGGACTATATGTATGTGCTTGGCCCTGCATTGTTTCAATAGGATGCTTGTCATTGTCCATCATATATAGACTAGTTTCTAGGTCATTTCAGTGCCACCGGTGCCAAAATACTTTTTTTTATGTCTGAAATATTAAATGAGCTATGTGATATTGTAGTATTATTTATATATTATAGTATTTATTATATTTTGAATTAGTTTTATATTTTCAGTTTTAATTTTAGTAATTTTATGTTTTTGCAATTTTTTGTTGTTTTTGTTATTTCAAATATTTATATATTAAATAAATAAAAATAATTTCTATTTTTAGTTTTAGGGTGCTTTCACACTTGGTTCGTTTGCATGGTCCGAGCCTGAATTCGATTGCTCCCCCTCCTACTGCCCCCACTGGTTTGTGGTGTTCATATAGTGTTTTTTGGATTCCGAACCACGGTACGCTTGTGTCATCAGAGTGGCAGCTGTTTACCCCTGTTACTAGGTAAGGACTATAAATAGGTTCGAAAGAACGCGGGAATCACTTTCTCACATTCTCTCTGCTGCAGTGCGTCAGTTTTTCAGGAAAGCGACTGAGTAAACACATAAATACGCAGTTTGGCCATTTAATGCATCATTAATAGCGGTTTACTTCTGCGATTTGGTACAGTTGGGTTCATATCAGCAGCAAATTGTATCGGGGTTCACTTGAACTGTACCCCAAGTGGACTCAGGGTGTATTCACACCAGGAAAGTCCACTAGTTCACTTTCTTTGGTCCAGACCAAAAACAGTGTTGATTTTTTTTGTTTGGTGTAGTTCGCTTTCACACTGCCCTTTTTTGCAAGTGAACCAGAAATTGTAAACAAAGCCACACGTGTGCTAAGGTCATCCATTAATTGGACTAATTAATTCTCAAGCGTACCAGAGTTCGTTTGGAACCGGACCGAGACCACCTCTTCAGCTGAGTCTCGATGCGGTTGTTTGGTCCACACCCGAGTGCGATTGCTGTATTCACACCTGCCCAAATGATCTGCACCAAGGGGGGAAACAAACTTGAGTTCGATTCAAGACAGGTGTGAATACACCCTAATGCCGAGTTCACACTGCATGATTTTAGCCCGATTTTTCACTCTCCGACAGGTTTTGCAAAATCGCCGATAAATGCCCGAAATCGGAGGCAAATTGTCAGAAAGTCCGTTCCGGAACCAAAATCACGCAGCCGTTTCCATACGGACTTTAAAACGATCACGGCTCACAGATTGTTGCGAACACTGCTGCGCTCTGAGACCAATGTTGCGTTTTGCGTTTATGCACAAGATACCACAACGTAACGGGTACTCTACCTCAAGGTGCCTTATATAATTTAATAGTTGTTGCTGCTTGTCTGGAATAAATGGCAGTGTTATTGGAGACACACTCATCCTGTGCATGATTCTTTAACTGGAGTCAAATCCATGTTCGCCCGCTATGATACCAGACATTGAGTAAATGTTGGGAGGTGCTACCTAACAAATTGGTCCTTCAAGCCAGATCATAGCAACCAAAGCATCATGGATACTGCAGCTAGCAATGCATCAGAGGCTACAGTTCGACCCAAAAGACAGAATAAACTGCCTTCCCATCTGGAAGTATATGAGGTTGGCTATCTGCCTCCTGTGGACCCTCCTCCAACCGCTTCTTCACGCTATCAAAGCCAACACAAGAGCCAGTCGAGGAAAACCCATAGCAAAGCCCGTTCTCATTCCAAATCCAGTGGTCGTTCCAGTGTCTCGGGCGCTCATGCTGCATTCACACTCACAAGCAGGCAGGCAGCCATTGTAGAGGAAATAATCAAACAAAGGCAGTATGATGAGCTCCGTCAGCAAATGGAGGAGGACACACTGGCAGAGATAGAGTTTCAGAGGTTACAGATTCAAGCTAGAGGCTCAACGTGCACAGGAAGAGGCCCTCTCGGCAAAGGAAGCCTTATCTAGCCGGTTGCAGAGACAGCGTAAGCTTAAAAGAGCCGAAACTGACCTTGAGGTGGCCAAACTCGTGAGTTCCCTGCTCAGCAAAGATACTAGCTTGTCTGACTCAGAGATTCACATATCACCTGACTCAACACGGCCAGCACCTCAGTTGCCTTCTGCTAGCTTAGCCCAAACATCTATGTTCCAGTAGTTTCTCTGTCCATCATCCTCCACGGTACAAGCCATACAGACTGCTCCAGAGGCACAGAGCATTGTAAGGGACCCATGTATAGTTCAGTCAACACCTAAACACCACATTGTGTCATCCCAAGTAACTATGCCCTTACCAGTACCAGCTTTACCAGTGCCATCATTCTTATGTGCAGCAAACCAAACTCTAAGGAGGTCCCAAGTCACATATTCTGAGGAGAACATGCCTCCTGTCCCACAACA